AAAAAAAAAAAAAAAAAAAAAAAAAAAAAAAAACACATAATAGTAAAATTAATACCTTCTCAGCTTCGCATCGAAGCTAAAAATAATATATTTACAATATTATTATTCGAATACCATCTCCCTTTAATTTTCATTTTACGACAAAACAATATGTAGCTATTACTATTTTATTTTATTATTCAAAATAATCCATAATCATATACCGTATATCCTTTTACTTTCATCTTATAACAAAGCTATCATAAATTATAATCTAACATCATTCATCCATTTCCTCATCCCTTATTTTCATCTTATTTATTTTTTGACAATTAAACTAGAAAAAAAATTCATTAATATGTTCTAACTTAATGGTATCATTATATATACCCGAACACAAATTAGGAACTTATTCACAACAAACGATTTAAATCCGATAAAATATTCTTACAGCAATTCAACAAAATTAGTTCGTTGTCACTTTTTATGTTTATTTTATCTAGATGATTTTCAGCTGAACATAAAACTCCTCGTAACAAAGCTACCGCTTCGTATAAACGATTATCTCTATACAGCAGTTTAGCATATTGTAGAGCTATTAGAATGAGATACGAATCTGTTGGTTCAAAGTTCCACTTGCATATAGAAATTGCTTCATTATACCAAAATTTAGCATTTTTAATAGCATGATCGTCACAAAAGACATCCCATATAATTCTATGGTTAAAGAAGAAATAAAAAAATAATAATCAACGAACAGTAACTTAAAAGAATAAATCATTTCTAGTTCTAAAAAAACTTTTTAAAAAAAAATACAGTTACAAATAACGCTAACGCCAATTAAAACAATGCCCATTTTTCTCATTTAAAATGTTATTTACAATGTACTGAAAGAGATCATTAACGATTTTTTAAATAATAATTTTATACTATCATTTTGTTGAATTATTTATTAAACCATTTAATAATACAAATAGAAAAATCACTAAAACTCACACATAAGCATCGCCCTTTAACTTCAAACATGTTACTAGCTCTCGAATTTCTTGGGTGTTTCGCTGTAAGAATTTATCTAGTATGTTAATCATAGTATTACTCATTTTAAATAATTCACATTGCAATTTGTAAGCTAGTATTTTAATAGTGTTGATATGAATAACATTCCAACCTTGTGAGTTCCAACAAAATAAAAACAAAACATCTAAGAATATACAAGTTTGAGTTGCTATAACATAGTACGATTGAAACATCATTTTGATTACTTCATTATCATGGGACCATTTAAAGTTTTCGAATGAGAAATGTTCAATTAATTCATTAAATTTATTAAAAATTGTCCTGCGCATTATAAAAAATAAAAATAACTGATAAGCTCTAAATTATAGATTTAATGTTTTACATGAATAATATACGAGTAAACAATAATTTCTAGTATTTGAATCTATCCCGTGTAGATTTACTCTGATCCATTTAACTCTATCATAACAATAATAATGATGAATAAATAAGTAAAAAAAAATAATTTATTATTGTTAGGATGGAACGGATAAGATCTAAAAAATATTACTTTATAAGATAAGTTACGTGTTGATATTAATAAAAATTTTAAATAAGAATACCCTATCCACAATACTTTATTTAGAAAAATAGTATTTAATAAACATGTTGTTTTTTTGCCTAACTGAATTTAGATAAACAGTTCAACAATAAGTATATTCAAAAATCTATCAATAAAAAATTAAAGTGAAATCAAAATGATAATAACTAATAAGCCAGATATAGAACTTTTTTAATGCAAAAATTAGGTAAATTATATTGTTCATGATATGAAGTAATATTTAAAATTATTTTTAAGTGGATGAATTTTAACACCAAATATTAACATTATGAACAATTTTACCTCCAATATCTAGTATGTTTTGTTAATTATTAAATTTTTCTTCTTTTTAAAATGTAAAAAATATATATATATTATTTTTAAGAAGTTAAAAAAAATTTTATAAGTCACACAATAATAATATAGGATGACATTCTAAGTTTCATTAAATAAATCAACAACAGACTGTTTTTTTTTCATTTAAATATTACAACAAAACTGAAAATTAAATTAAATATAAATGATTGTATATTACTTAAGGTAGTCACTAAGTGCATAACATAGTAGTCATTCATGTGCTTAAAAAATATTTAATGAATAATTGAATGAACACTTTAATGTTTAGTACAAAAATGAGTTAAGTCCATTTTTGATGAAATTGAGTTAATTGTGCAATTTTATTATTCTAGGAGTAAAATATATTGATTATAAATTTGTGAAGTAAAAAGTCAATATTTGAGTCCCTTTATTGTATTTATTAAGTGTAATTGCATAGAAAAAAATCCAGAATTGTGGGGTCTCGTCATAATTGGGACAAGTATAAAATTGTCTATACTTGTATATCTGTCAATGATTATCATCACTATCATAAAAACCATTTTGATGGGAATTTTAAATTTAAAGCGGGCCCCGGCACTCCGTAATATACGAGATAACACCTAGGGACGTATTTTGAACTCATTTTGTGGTGCCGGGTTGCTTGATGTTTCTCTACTGCGGTAAGCATGTTACAAACAATTTTTTTACTAGTAAACAAAGTAATAACCAAAAAAAGTATTTTAAGTCATATTTCGTAAATATTGGCAATAAAAAATATTGATAACACTGGTCCAGAAGAGGAGGTCATCACCCCTTGAATACGTCCCTAGAAACACCACAACCTACGCCATCTTTATCAATCACCGCCCTACTAATATCAATAAATTGTAGTTTGACGGAGTATCACCGGGTACGATATGTCGGTGGCTCAAAGTCCAACAATGACCACGCGTTACGTCTGTCTGCTGCAATACTACATTGATTCTTCTTTCCGTCGTCGAAGTGATGATGTTGTGGATATACGCCACCGACTCCGAGCACAATAAACTGATGCCGTATCAGCATACAGTGACCATCATAGTAATAAAATCAATTTGGTAAAGAGCGCCTTTAACAAAAACTTAGTGGAGCAGTTGTCACAAATACAGTTGAGTACATTAAATCGTGTCACAGCTAATCTCTAGCGTCTTTACTTTACTTACCCCCTCGCCATATCGACGGTCTATGTATCAACCCAACCGTGCACAGTCCATCCTCAATGGATGAATTGTGCGTTCTCTTTCATATACAAAGCAAATGCCACTACTTGTGTTTGTTTAATCGGCCATAATGCGTCATATTATTACTGTTTTGCACTCCTGTTGTATCCTGAGCTCTCTTGAGTTATTCGTACCTGTGTACCCTACCCTTTCAATGGTTGGCCCTGTCCACTGAAGTTTTTAATTCTTATGCGACAGCCTTGTGTCACCATCTGCCATCTGATATCGTTTAATGCTACGTTTCCAACAACTACACCCAAAGAAAAACCTCAATCAAAATTGAAAGAGAAATTTTATCAAGGATTTATGATAATTTTTTATTAATACGAACAAAATAACTATTCTTATAAATAATTATTGTTCAAGACAAGAAAAAAAATATCATATTGATAAATATATCATTGATTCAATAGTAATGATATATTTATCAAATTGAACAATGAATTTATTATATAGATCGAGGTTTTTCTCTGGGTGTAGTCAGGGAACCGTAATATCCGGACGTGCAAGGTCATTTGTGCACATGCTTTGTACTTGTCTATCCGTGTAAATGACCCTAGTCGCACATCACATGTCATCGTTCACGTCTTCAGTATTTCAACGCACACTTACAGTCCACAATTCACCGCCATTATTCACTATTTTACGTTTTAATTGTTTGTCTTATTTATTTTATATATTTGTCGGCCATTTTAGCAATAAGGACTCTCCTTATGCCCATTTATTGAAAAGTTAATATATTTGTTTTAAAATCATTATCAACGCATTATTTATTGGATGTGCGGTTAGCCAGCATCCACCCAGATTACCCTTTTCATCTGCTCTTATAGTAATCTTAAATAGACTTAAAGCAAGACGGCAATTTATTGCGGTACACAACTAGCCGTCAAACGGACTAGTTGCCTAGTACAAAACAATATCAAATAAGAAGTAATAGCGACTGATAAACAGTACCTAAAAGTACACGATACATTCATTGAAATCACAAGTAAAGTTTGCATCAATTAGCACAATATTTTATATCTTAAAATTACAAAAACTGCAATACAATTTCTACTTATATACTTAATATTAAAAATTCTAATTAATTTATAATCAAAAGTGCACGTGCATAAATAGTAAACAAAAAATAATAGTCCTTAAATGTATAATTAGTGAGTAATACATAATAATCCAATAGTATTATAAAAGAAAACGTTTCTTAATGGCAAGTATAAGGAAAAAATAATTATTGGGATAACGATTAATAATACTAATTAATAAAATACAAATCAAATTAAGTAATAGAGTACTAGCTAATTACTACACTGAGTATAATTATTTTGCACCTCATCTCAGAAAAAATACAAGTAATGATGATTTAACAAACTGGAAAATTACTAAGCATAACTTGCTATACATAAAAACCATAAACTAACCTCATAAGCTATATACAATTTTTGTGTTTAAAATATAAAAATGAGAGCATATTTTTTTTAACATTCAGTTTATTGAATAACATTTAAATGACGTATAAAAACATATAAATTATGTATGTTGGATTCACTCAGCGTGGTATTCATAAATGCATTAACGCTTACAGTTTTTATTTTTAGTCATGAGTAATCGTAACCAATTAAAAAAAAATTCAACTACAAACACACCTTAGTAACAGAATGACATACAAATATAAATTATTATAAATTAATATTTTAATTAATTAAAATAAAAATTAAACACAAATACTACAATAATTGAAAACTTATATTCGGGAATTGAATTGGATGTCTAATGAAAATACGGCCACCAGTAAACCAAATACTACAAATAAAGTTAGAGGTGAGGCTCAAAATAAATCAAAAGATAGTGGTAAACCAAAAGAGAAAAAACTAAGTGTCTTAGAAAGTCATGGGTATACGGTCGGTCGAAGTATCGGAAGTGGCTCATATGCCACAGTAAAGGTATTTTACTCAAATACAGTTAAACTATAAACTCTAGTGAAAAGAATTTACGGAAAAATGTTTTATGTGAAATGACCGTTTAACATTAAAAAAATTTTAATTTAAAATATTAGATGTATACATCTTCGCCTTCTTTAAAAATGTATAGAACTAACAAAAGTATTTTTTTTAAAAGAAACCCGCATTTCAATATTGTTATAAATCAATAATTTCCCTCTTTACGATGACATTTAATTAAGTTTCAAGTATTTTCTTTGAAAATTATCTAAGCAATAGAATAACTAAGCTGTATATAATAAGATGTATGTAATAATGTAATAAATATAAATATTAATAATTTTAGAATACTAATCAAAATCGATATGATAAATTGTTAAAAGAAAAATATATAACATTTTTTTAACTTGATCTTCAAGTCAACAAACATTTAAGGAATTAAACCAATTCTTAAGCGTAATAATACTGCTATTTTTATCGTATTATTAGACCGTTAGAGACTGTCAGTACGATGTCATTTAAATATTATCATATATTATGCATAACGCATTATAGAAAACTGAGAAAAAAAAACCCAGCACAGGGGGGTCGCGGCACAGTGGTGACGTGGTATAGATGGATCAAGTATAATGATATCTGACAGTGATTAAAATCACTATAAAAAAAAAACGCTTTGATGCAAATCTTTAGATACTGTTTAATTTTAAAAAATTGGTGGACTTTTCCAAAAGCTACATGATCTGCTAGTTCATTATTAATATCCTAATTAAGATAAAGTATGTAGAATGAAAAAGGGATTATTAAAAAATATTATTTCTCATAAAAAAATAATGTTGATCCATACACTTTTCAATATGTCATAGCATTATAAAGTTAAAAATGTAAAAAATAAAATCGAGAATTTTCACACAATAATAGCATTCGGTAGCCATTTTCACCGTGAAGATAAAATAAAGTCCGAAATTTTTTTTTTGCATAATAAAGAATATTACATTAGCTTTAATTTAAGATATATATAAAAGTGTCAGACCTTCCGGAACATTTTCAAAAGTTATGTTGAAAAAGTTAATTTTTTTTGAAAAAGTTGTCATTTTAAAAACCCCCTTGTGGGCAGGTTAAGGGTTAAATTTATGAAAAAAATATACCAAACAAAAGGTAATGATATTACACATCTATATAAAAAAGAATTATATTGATATGTTCATTTTTGAAAAAGTTATGGCACTTTTAAGTAAAAAAAATTGAAAAAATTTCGAAAATTAGTGATTTTTAAATTTGTAATTTTTTTGGAGGTTTCCCCATTTACTGGGAACGAGGGAAATTTTTTCAATTTTTGAGGGTAATGTATTCAACTAGATACGATTTGTGATCTTTTGACGTATTGTTGAAAGAAATCGGTCCAGTGAGAGCTGAGAAAAAGTGGCAACAGACATAAAAAAAAAAAAAAAAAAAATAAATAAACACATCTTAGTAAAACCAATACCTTCTCAGCTTCGCATCGAAGCTAAAATATAGATCGTTTTCACTACTGGTGTTAATTTTACAGTTTTATACATAACATTTTTTTTACTCAGACTAGTTAGATATTTATATAAAATTAATAGAAGAGTAGAAAATACTTTAAAAAATATTGTTTAAAAAATTGTACAAAAAAATTTGGATTTCTTTTTGCAATTTATAACAAAAAGATTCAATTTCAACGTAAAAAAAAATATTTTTACTTTGTTTATCTCTTTCAACGTAATTAATGATAAAACTTTATTTATTGTATGGTCAAATTTGAAGATAAATTGTTGTAATGAGTTACATAACAAGATCGCTACTGATTTAAAATTGGCTAACATAATTTGTGCATTAATACCTCATTTAAGTTGAAATCAATGATTTGAAACGTCAAAAATTATTTAAATTGATATTGTGCAAGTACAGTGCTATAGTTCAGTAAAAAATTATAATAAGTTACTTTTAAAAGGTCGTCCTTAAAAATAAAAGCAAATTTCTTTAAAATCGCACTAAAGTGTCAGTTTTTGATTGTCCAAATAAAATAATAATGACACAGTTCTTCAAGACCTTCATCTTTTGATAAGTTTGGGATTACCATTTTTAATAAAATGATGAGTGAATCAAAAAGTTTCAACTGGGTAAAAAACTGTAACGACAAATAATTCACGTAAATCAAAGATTTCACAAAAATGTTCAATTTAGTAAATGTACATTTAATTTGCAGCTCAGGTTGTTTAAAATATGTAGATATTTTGAAAAAATACAAAAAGTTGTCAAAGTCTATTTTTCATTAGAACTACTAGTGTCCAATATTTATAGATATATTGATGATTTTAAGAAAAGTTACGAAAAATTACACATTCTCATTATTCCTAAAATTCACGCCCTAATTAATCATTTTCTAGATCTTTGCTCCAAACGTAAAATAGATTTAGTGTAGCGACCAAAACATACGCAACGAATATTCTCGAATGTTCTCGTTATCAAAAACCTTCGAGAAACTTCGATAACGCCATAAGATAACCTACGCGGGTATAGAATATTCTAGAATTAGCGAGAGCCTTATCGGAGCTATATATATATCGGAAGAATCAGTCAGTTCAGTTAGTTCAGTTCAGACTGTCTAGTCCGCGATACGCTACACGACCGCTACACCCCGCCGCTGTTGTCATCGTGTATTATGTTTACTTCGATTATTTTATTTTTCCTTACTGTATATACATATATTTTCTTTGAGTGTTTATACGTCTATTTTAGTGTTATAATTTTGTTTAATAAAAGTCTACCGCCATTTAAATAATTGTGTGTTGTAAGATATAACCCACATTAGAATAAATTTTAGTAAAAAAACATTTAATCTATCCATCATGATCAATCAATCAATCATTTTAAAAAAGTAGAATAAAACGGCTATTATTTGTACATATTAGAAACAACAGAGTAATTAAAATAAAGTTAATATAACTATAATTCTAAAGATAAATATAAATATGAGCGTAGTGATAATTAAGGTTAAATATTTTATAACTTATTATGTAAATAACATTTAATAATATAATCTATTATGTCTAATTGACACTTATATACAAATTTGTACACAAATTCTATATAATATAATTAAATAATAGAAATATAAAAATTTTCAAAGAAATACCTTCTCCGCTTCGCATTGAAGCTAAAAGTATTTTTTAATTTTAAATAACAATATTTTCAAAAAAATTAGGTTGAAAAATTAATCTACAAATTATTTTAGAATAGTTCCTAATATTAATAAAATATTCATAAAAAAAAATCAATAAGATTTTGGTGCCTAAATTTTTTATTTAAATTCTTTCAAACGCACTTTGCATTTTGAAATTTATTATTTTATTTCTAATTACACACACTCAACTGCTTCATTTATTATTTCACTATGAATGGTGGTAGTCAACCAATCAAGCATTTAAAAAGTCTAGCTAACATAATAACAATATTTCTAGCAAATTTATTGATTGTTTAAATACGATGTCTCAGACTTATCAAAACTATATAACAGAATTTTAGGAAAGCCTTTTTTAAAGACACGAAGCTATTATCATTATCATCTATGAAAGGCAATGCCTGCTCGTTGAAACTACTCCTTTCTGTTTGACTCCAAATTTTGCAGTGAAACAAAAGACGCACGGTTAACGAGTTCCGGGATATTTTCAAAATATAGTTTCTTGGGCGTCCTCTTGGTTTCTTCCCGGTATTTTCCCTTCAAAGATGTTGATTTGTAATAAACAAAAAGAAAGGATAAGGAAGAAGTAGTAAGTAATACAGAAAAAGATAGGATAGTGGCGAAGTGGTAGGAAGGGTGATAAAGGAAAGTAAGAGTGGCTAGAGGTATTGGGCAGTGACTATAATAGAATTAAATAGAAAGGGGTCTCGGGGTATATATGTCTACATAAACACGTTTGATATATATGTGTAAAATAAAATATCAACGAAAAATTACTATTTAGTCTCTGCACAAAAATGCATACACGAATTTGTGTGAATAACGAATATCGTACTTCTTTATATAATTATTCTACTTAATTTGTTTTCGACAACCTACGTCACTCTAATTGTTTATTAATAAATATCCTTTGATGAAGGTATTATTAAAGATTTATTATGTAAATGAACATTTCACTTACCTATAACTTTCATGATAAGACGAATATTTTGTTGTGATGAACCATGCAGTTGATATCACTGTTAGCAGTATGTATGTACGCGCCTCTATATACGCACTTGAAATTACTGGTCTTTTATTAATATATTGACTAGCGTGTAACTATTTCTGTATTACAACTCTATATTAAATATACTCAAGATAAAAATCCAATTTCTTGGTATATTATGTAAACCCTTTTTGTATATTTGTGTGGTGTACTCTTTAGCCTTATAAGTAATGTTTTATACTAACTCATTTATAATTTTAATACCTAATAAAACCAATAAACAACGTTACTATCTTATACCTTTTTTCAGTCATCCATAAAATGATCTAGGGTAGATGTGTGCACAATTTAAGTTCTTTGCACAATAGATTATACTATTATCCCACACTCCGATTGCCTGCACTATTCCCTTTCGGAAAAACGGTTGAAATTAGACTGACTAGTCGAAAAGTGAAGAGACACTGACCAAATAAATATTTGGTGAATTAGTATAATATTTCGACTCCAATATAATTTGTACTTCGTAGCAGTAAAAGGCGTCGTCCTAAGGGAACGAATGGTGTGATATAGGTTTGAAGGAAATGAATAATGAAGGGTAAAAATGGTGGTGATGTGTATTTTACTATTGAAGGTGTGAATGCTTATATTGTACCAAAAAAAAATTTGAAGGTTGATTCTTAGTCAGAGTAAAGATATAATGTAGTGTATGTATGGCCGAATAATAATAAAAAAATTATTAAACAAGATAATAAATGGTAGAGAAACACATGTTTAAATGTGGCAAGATATGTAAGGGTACAAAGGATATAATGATATGAATAAAGAAGAATTCAGAGGGGTGAATAAACGGAGTTTAAATACATGAGGGTAATGATCAAATAAATAAAAATGTACACAAACGTTGTGACAAAAATAATAAACTGATCTCATGGTTGAACAATATTGAATAAATGAAGTCAATTATCCTATAAAACTTTATTATCTATCTTAATGGTTTATTACGCAATAGTGTATTTATAATTTGAAACCGGAAATTTAAATTTGTACTTACCTTGTATCCCACGTAATGTAATGCTTATTTTAGACAATCCAATGTTGATTATGAGTTCACACTGTATTTCACACGTTGTACACTACGAGTTCGACAGTAAATATGACCGTTTGAGAATAAAGCGTTTAATTATAATTAATACGAAATCGTTACACAAAATCTATGACTGTATTACTATATGCAAGAGATTCTATACACTCTATGTTTTTTTTTATAACTATAATCAAATAATGTATCCTTAGTTGACTTTGTAGAATGAGTATATTATTTATGAGATTATATTTTATTGAAAGATCGACACCAATATATCTTAAATTTTTCTCTGGCCTGGCCAAAATAAAATTCAGAAATATTTATATATCTGTAAAAGATTTGTCAAAGCGGAATTCTGGTGGCCCAATGTGTCCCGGCAGTATCGCCTTGAAAGGATGCAGCACAATAATCACCAAGACAAAAATTAAATTCTAAAAAATATATTCGTAAGTTTCTCTGTGTTGTCTGCCAGCGCGATGTCCATTAGAACAAAGACATTAAACCAAAATGGCTAGCTACCCAATACACATAGGCTTACAAATATATTCTAACCTAATTCACCTAACTTTAAAAATCTTTAATTGCAACCTTTACTCTGTCTGCCGGTACGATGTTCGTTAGAACAAAGACATTAAACCAAAATGGCAAGCTACCCAATATGTATAGAGTTGCAACACACTTAGTCCAATAAAAATGTTATTAAATTAGCTTAAATCTGAAATAACTGTAACCTTTAGCATATAATAAATATTTACCATTAACTGAAAAAATTAGAGTTGATTCGGGTTTATTATATATAAAAAAAATAATTTAAAAAAAAAAAAATGTTTGAGGCTTAAAATCTTAATTGACATTTATTTCCATGATAAGATAAAACATTATTGTTTAATGAACAAATCAAATTAAGAGATTCGCCAAAACAAAATTCACTTTAAAATTTCTAAGAGTCATTTAGCTTAAGAAAATATTCTAAATCCAAAAAATTAAAAAAAAAAACTAAGTGTTTTAAAATTAAAAAATATTCTAAGTTCAAATTAAATATAAAAAAAACTAAGTCCCAGAAAGTAAGAATTTTGAGTAGAGTGTCGCAGACTTTGTGTATTTTAAAATCGCCGAAAGAACTGATTTTAATAGAAAATAAATATAGTTTAAAAAAACACACTTTTAAAGCACATCGAACTAAAAAGATAAAAATAATTTCTAAAATAAGCTTAAAACAATAATGAACGAAAAATAATAGCATTATTGTGAAAAAAAGAGTGGGGCTCTGTGCCATATTTTTCGTATATTGAGCGCCTGACGCTTTTATCACAATAATACTAGTATTTTTTGTTCATAATTATTTAAAAAATTATTTTTAACTTTTTAGTTCGATGTGCTTTAAAAGCGTGTTTTTTTAGTTTTTTTAAACTATATTTATTTTTCACTTTTTAGTTTCATGTTATGATAGTAGTTATTATCAATATCTTGGTTGTTACGGATAACGGGAAATCAGAGTTCGATTCCGGAGAGGGAGTCAGAGAAACTGCTACCACATCCAAGAAAAGCAGCAAGCGCGCAAATTACTCACTCGCGGAACGTGGAGGTAGTGACGAAAAATGACGATACGGAAATCATCCCTCGTAATCGGAATGAATACTTTATATCTCTTAATTAGAATAAAGCATGTTAATATATAAATTTTAATAGTAATTAGAATATATCGCACCCCCTAGATCTAAACTATTGTAACTCAAAAAACCTCTTTTTTCACAATTCAAGAAAAACTGATATGAAACTTGCATGCTGTCATTCAGGTAAACTGTCTTCTAGCGCTTTCTATAGGAAACCAAACAAGATATAGTTACTACGGTTTTATTCTCATGTAGGTAATGGAATCAGAAATCCTTAAATGAAAATTATCTCAAAAATCGCATTTTTTAGTTACAACAGTTTAGATCTAGGGGTGCGATATATATATACAAGTAAAGCGACTTAAGTACGTAACCGTATCATGCACTAGGTATAGCGGTGTTTTGTGGGCGGGCGGGTCGGACTAACGTTATACCTGAGGTATAAACGGCGGTAGGAATATATACGTAAGCCGTATGGCACGCGGATGGTATTGGTCAGTCAAAATAAAAATTTGTTTATATATATATATAATATTTATGACACGCGGGAACGATAACCAAAAATAAATTTATAAAGGAATAGTATTGCCATCATGGGGTGAGGTGAATACGTTATGACAGTCTAGTCTCAAGGCCATAGACGACGGAATATGCGATAACGCGTGACGCTTGGAGAGTTACAAACATACATACATACATACATACAGGTGAAACTAATAAAATATAGTTTAAAAAACTAAAAAAACACGCTTTTAAAGTACATCGAACTAAAAAGTTAAAAATAATTTTTAAAATAATTATGAACAAAAAATACTAGTATTATTGTGATAAAAGCGTCGGGCGCTCAATATACGAAAAATATGGCACAAAGCACCCACGCTTTTATCACAATAATACTAGTATTTTTTGTTCATAATTATTTTAAAAATTATTTTTAACTTTTTAGTTCGATGTACTTTAAAAGCGTGTTTTTTTAGTTTTTTAAACTATATTTATTTTTTACTTTTTAGTTTCATGTTATGATAGTAGTTACTATCAATATCATGGTTGTTACGGGTAACGGGAAATCAGGGTTCGATTCTGGGGAGGGAGTCTGAGAAACGGCTACCACATCCAAGGAAAGCAGCAGGCGCGTAAATTACTCACTCCCGGAACGTGGAGGTAGTGACGAAAAATGACGATACGGAAATCATCCCTCGTAATCGGAATGAATACTTTATATCTCTTAATTAGAATAAATCGTGTTAATATATTAATTTTAATAGTAATTAGAATATATATATTTATACAAATAATGCGACTTAACTACGTAAAAGTATCATGCACTAAGTATAGCTGTGTTTTATGGCCGGGCGGGTCGGACTAACGTTATACCCGAGGTATAAACGGCGGTAGGAATATATATATATATACGTAAGGCGCATTAGACGCGGGCGTTATTGGTCAGTCAAAATAAAAATTTGTTTACATATATATAATATTGATGACAAGCACGCGTGTACGGGTACGATAACTAAAAATAAATTTTTATAGGAATAGTGTACCGTCGTATTGTGAGCGAGGCGTGGGGAGGGGTGAATGCGTATAACAGTCTAGTCTAGACAACGGAATATGCGATAACGCGTGGCGTTTGGAGAGTTACAAACTTACATACAAACAACATACAAACAATATACAAACAACATACATGTGAAACTAATAAAAGCGTGTTAATAAGCGTGTTAAAAATGGGTTTTTATAATAGATGAGGGTCGTGTAGCGATCCCTAGTGTGATCTTAGAAACTGTAGATCTTAATTAATAGTTAAATGTGATTGGCTGGACCTAATTGAGAACCCACACATAGGCGTTACTTTGAATCTGTATGATAATCAGATTTTATTGCCTAGTTTATTGATTATTTTATGTTTTAAATAAGGGAACCCTGTTTTAGTAATCTTGTGAATTCATAATATATAACATACATCTACAAAAGATAACATAATATAATATTACATTTCACTGCCATATGAAATCACACTCCAGACATACGCTTTAACGAATCATTTACGTATGTAAATGCTCAAATATTTATTGGTGAGAAGCTGATACTTGTTTTGGAATGATTACGTTCCTAATGCTATTCTTCTTCTGATGTCTGGTGCTGATTTATTATTGGTAGCTATGATACTTCCAAAGTGGCAGAATTCTCGGATCTGTTATAATCGTGTATTGTTTATTTGTATATTAAGATTTAGGTTATTATTCATAGCATTTTTAAACTCTGCTATGGTAAAAATATCATCCACAAAGCGAATACAGTATATATGTTGACTATTTATTTTCACTCCATTGGTCTTGGTTTTCAATACATTCATTTACATTTCAATGAAAAGATTGAACAGATAGGGCGACAAGGGGCATCCTTGTCTCACTCCTCTCCTTATTCTTGCTTCTTTTATCGATCCATTCACATTTATTTCTGTTGTTTGATCTTTATATAAGTTGATGATGAGCCTATCATTCCAATGAATTCCTTTTTCTCTGAAAACTTTGAATAAGATTTTCCAATCCTTTTTATCGAAAGCCTTCTCTAGATCTATGAATGTTACTATAGTATTTCTATTAAGTGTAATTCTTCTCTCAAGGATCTGTCTCAGAGCTAATATCACTTCTCTTGTTCCTTACCCTTTCCTAAATCCAAACTGATCATCCAATATATTTTATTCTGTATTCTCTCTTAATATGTTCTTGATAATGTTTAGAAGTATTTTAAAAACTATTGCATTCTTAAAAAACCTTTAATTGAACATTTCTATAAATTATTTATTTAAATTAAAAATGATATATAAAACTTGTAGCAACCAGGTTGAACAAAAAAGTCAACTACTTAGATTCACAGTTAATTATGAAGGCATATATTTTAATCAATAACAATAAATTTTACTTGATATAATAAAAAGTCTATTGAATAGAAATAAAACTTTGATTAATTTTGTACGTAATTTATTTCCAAGATAGCATATTCAGAACGTCATAAGGGTGACGTAGCTATCAAAATTGTATCCAAAGTCCAAGATGCTGCTGATTATCTCGAAAAGTTTTTACCACGTGAAATTGAAGTAGTGAAAGGTTTAAAACACGAAAACTTAGTGAGATATTATCAAGCAATCGAAACAACGCACCGGTAAATATTCAAAACGTTAAAATTAATTAAAAGATAACGTTAAACGAAAAGTTTTTTTTAATCCAACCCTTGATTACGATAACATAATAAATAATGATAATAATTTATACAAATTTATCAAAACAGATTATTAATGCCTTCGGCAGTATGAAAACCAAATTAATAATAAATTTCAAACATAAATCCAAATCTTTAAACAATTTTTAAACAATAACGGTTGTTCAGATAAAAAATATAAGAACAAAATTGTTTAAAAATGTTTTTTCTGTCATATAAACAAACTTAAAATAGGTTTCCATTAAACAAAATTAAAATTTAGGTTTTCCCGAAGAGATGAAAAAAAATTATTGAAGTACATATTGCTGAAAAAAAATTTAATAAAACAATATTTTACTTTACCTTTTATTTAAAAGATTCAATAATTTCTAAGAAAATGAATGTCCTGTCCTTAATCGATCAATTTTACACAGAATGATCCATTTATTATTATTCAAACACAAAATAACAATAATTTTAAAATATATTTTTTTACTTTTTTTAGATAGGTATAATTCTCTATTTATAAAGTACTTTTTCGGTTTATCCCTTACACCTTATAAGGTTATCAACTAATAATACGTATAGGAACAGACGATTCAAAGAGGTTTAATATTAAATCATAAAATTATTTAATCACAATATTAAAAGAAATACTTTTAAAAACGGTAGCAAAGTGGGGGGTTGCGGCACAGTGTGAGCATGGCATAGTTGAGACAAGTATAGATGGTACCTGAAAGTGATTAAAATCACTATCAGCAAATCTGTAGATAGTGTTTAATTTTAAGAAATTGGTGGATTATTCAAAAGCAAAATTAACTCCTATTTCCTTTATTGTTTCTAATTATAATACTATGATTTATATGTGTAACATATGATTAAATCTAATAAAGGAATCAAATAAATTAAAATATAATACCGAGAATTTTAATACAAAAATATCATATTATTGAATATGATAGCCATTTTCACCATAGAGATAATCTATATCACGAATTTTTTCATAGTAATGTATATTAAATTAGTGTAAATTTAAGATTAAATAGAAGTATCAATATTCCGGAACATTTCAATAATTAAGTTGAAAAAGTTTAAATTATGTGCAAAAATTGAATCCTCCCTATGGGTAGATCAAGAATCAAATTTTCAAAAAATTTATATCAAATGAAGTGAAAATATCTAAGGTTGCATTATAAAAAAGAATTATTTTCATTTTTAAAATAGTTATAGTAATTTAAAGTTGAAAAAATAAAATATGAAAATCCTTAATTTTAACACCAAAATATTTTTAACCACTGCAACCAATTGCACAAAGAAGATAAGTTGGGACAAATTTTTTTTTTTAAATAGTACATAATATAGCTTTATTTTAACACTTGTTTGAAGATTGGAATATTACCGGAATATTTACAATACTTATGTTGAAAAAGTTAACTTTTTGTGCAAAAGAGGAAAAATTTTTCAATTTTTGAAAGTAATGTATTCGACTAGATACGATTTGTGATTTTTTGATGTATCGTTAAAAAAAATCTTTCCAGTGAGAGCTGAGAAAAGTAGACACAAAAAATAAAAAATAAATAAACACATTATGGTAAAATTAATACCTTCTTGGCTTCGCATTGAAGCTAAAATCAGTTGCATAGTAGGTTCGCGGCACAGTGTGGACGCGGCATAGTTGGAACAAATATAGATGATATCTGACAGTGATTAAAATTACTATCATAAGAATCTCTTTGATGAAAATCTGTAGATAGAGTTTAATTTTTACAAATTGGTGGATTATAATCTTTACATAATCTTTAATTTACCATATGTTTAAAAGTCGCGTATTTGAAGAACATATTCAAAAGTTAAATTGAAAAAGTTCTACTTTTTATACGTATTTTTTAAATTTTAAATGCCCCCTGTATAAGGAGAAATTGTCCCACTTTTAAAAATAAGTATGTCGGATGAAAGAAGTATACGAAATGGCTCAGCATTCACTGAAAACTTAAATAACTTTTGATTTAGTTAATATTTTTTACTGATTTTTTTTTTTAAGAACAATTATATGTTAGGTCTATAATATATCTCAATAATTTATATTTTCACATTTTATTAATTTTAAATAAAATGTAAAAGAAAATCCAAGATAGCTATTTTGTAGAGAAATTTTAAGAAAAATTTTAGTAAAAAAATATTCTATTAATATTCAGTAGTAAATAGTCTTTATCGTTTTAAAGTTTGTGAAAATTATAATTTTCATGTGTTATTTAACGGTATTAAACATTTAAATACGTGTTAAACAAGGAAAGAATAAAAGCAAGATAGGTAGTTTTACCTCTTTAGAGATAAAACTACTTATTAAATAATAAGTATTGTTCTTGTTTTTATTTGAACTAAAGCCATTCATCGGAACGTTAATAAATTTCATGGAAAAATCTATACTCTTATCATATTTAGTATGAAATGATGGTGTTTATTAAAAGCTAACACCCCTATAAGATGTAAGGGGTGGACCTAAAAATTACTTTATGACAAATAAATAGAAATAAATATGTAACTAACAAAAACTGAAAAAACCTAATATTTTAAAAGAAATTGAGTGGCTAATGTTAAAAGAATCGCTCTGTATAACAATGATAATATTTTTTATTTCCCGATACTTGTAATATTACTTTAATATTGGAAATTACGGGAACTTGAATTTATTTTTAAAAAAGATAATAACTCCACTACCTTTACTATAATTACTCGAGTAGAACAATAAGGGTCTAGTGGGTAGAAACTTTCGGTACACAGGATCCCAGGTTTGATCCCCAGGGTGCCAAGATTTTCTTTGTGATTTTCTCATTGTGCTTGTCTGGTCTCTAGCGCAAGCCGGCATTAATACTCGTTTCGTCCATTATTGGTATAGCCAAGAACCATCTTTGACTCCCTATCATGTGAAAAAGAGTTACCACCCTTTGTATTATATTAAGTTCGGGAAATAGAAGGATGTAAAACTGATCATTATGTTATACTCGAGTAGGGCGATCGATAAAATCTATAAATATCAAAATAAAATAATAAAAAAAAAGCTAAATTAAACAAAATTTAAAAAAACTGAGTTAACAACCTTATAAAATATAAAAGATGAATCTAAAAAATATATAATAATTGATAAATCAAGAATTATATGTATTTAAAAAACAAAAATATATATATAACTCGAAAATTATCTTAATTTTATAAGTTATTGAGTGGGTTATGATAAACGTTGTTCATAAAAAAATTTTAGTGTGTACATCATAATGGAATTAGCTCCAAATGGTAGTCTTTTGGATATAATAAAAAGGGACGGCTGTATCGAAGAAGACAGATCGAGAAAATGGATGCGGGAGCTGGTGAACGCCGTGGGTTACTGTCACGAAAACGGAGTTGTGCACCGGTTAATTATTAATTACCGTCTCATCCACATTTAAATTTGTCCGACTGTTTAATTTAACTTTAACACAGTTATTAAATTGCAATACAGGGATATTAAGTGTGAAAACTTGTTGATGGACGGAGAATATAATATCAAACTATCCGATTTTGGTTTCGCCCGAGGTAATATGCTTCACAAAAATGGACAAATGGCCACAAGTAACACGTTTTGTGGGAGTTACGCATATGCGTCTCCAGAAATACTTAAAGGTAACCCATATCAGCCAGATGCTTCTGACGTATGGTCCACCGGAGTAGTCCTATACGCAATGATATTCAGTACTCTTCCTTTCGACGACAGCAATTATCCAAAACTAATAAAAGTGTGTGTATTATAATTTTTATTATTATACTAAACAAAAAATATAAATATAATAATGCTCCAACTTAATTTCAATCAAATTAAAGACTAATGCAAGGTTTATATTAAAATAATTCTATTCAATTATTAACATTGTTCAATTTTAAATTTTACAGTTAGTATTTTATCAATATAATGCCATTAGAGGGATAAAAAAATGCGCATTTTAGTTCTTGTTTATATTTTAAAAGAATATACTCAGAAGTTCTATGATGAGATAGAGTGTAAAGCTAAATATCTCTATGAATGTTACCAAAATACCTATTAAAATGTCGTATGTTATATGAAAAATTGAGCACATATTAGCCACAATAATTTAAAAAAATTACATTTATTAGCTTCGATGCGAAGCTAATTAATGTTGTTTATAGATTTTTTTTTCTTAAAACTACCATAACTTTATTAAG